ATTTGAGCACTCCAGAGTCAGTGCAGCCAGCACTAGATGCTTAGAATGGAGATTTAAAACCTCCCCACTGTGATTATTACCCAGTAAGCCTGGCATGGTCCTAAGGATCTACTTAGTTAGTAAGCATCTGCAGGAGATCCTAAAGCAAGCAGAATATAAGACTTAGGCCCATCTAAAGAAATAGAATCAGTAAACAGATTATTGTAAATTTGGGAAACTAACAGTCTGGGAAATCAAAGCCCAAAGAAGGGAATTTGTGTTAATGAGAAAACTAGGATTATATTCCGTATTTTAAAAACGTGTGAGTAGTGGTCCTATCGTATTTTACCACCTAATGGGGTATAAAATATATTGGCCAGATCTTACGTCCTTTTCTTGTTTGTTTGTTTTGATATTTAACATAGACCAGGCTACCCTATGTATTTAAACATAAGAAGAAATAAATTTTAAGATGTACAATTATATATGCCGGTATGAACACAAGCGTGTGCATGCATTGCGTGCGCTCACATGCACACGCACACTCACGCGGGCATTTAATGTAAGACTTCATTCATTGTCAGAGACACCCCAGTTTCTGAGATGCTAAAATCTGGGGGGAGAAAGAGCCTTAAGCAATGTAGTAGGTATATTAGAGTTGGAAAATATCTTTCAACTTCTTTGCCAACTCTTATTAGTTGGCAGCAGTGTCTGGAAAATTTTGATGCCAAGGGTTCTTGGGCACATCAGGGCAAACAAGGACCAGAGCCAGGGTCAGGTGTTAATGTTCAATATGGAAGCAAGGGCGAGTCTGGCAGAGCAAATACCACTGTTTGTGTTGTCTTTTGATAGCTAGGACAAGAAAACTGGAAAATAAAATTGGTGGATTGATTTGGAAAAAATCAGCCAACAGTAAAGATAATTTGTACCCATTCCAATTTTTAACCCAAATTGTATTTAAGTTTGATTGAGCCAGTTTATATATATTCAGTCCAAATCCAAACTGAACAAGTTTTCTGTCTACTCTTGGTTGTCTTACTTCTAAAAAAAAAAAAGATAGCCTCTGTCCTAACTCCTTCAGAAACTATTAATTATTAATCAATAACTAATTTTTTTTATAGTTTTCCAAATGCTTCCATGTAGTTTATGTGATTTGAATCCAGTTCTATGAGGTAAATAGTATTATTCCTTTTCTATTGTTGTGGGAATTACAGCTCAGAAAAGCTGAGTAACTTGCCCGAGATCACACAGTGAAATCAGTGAAAGAACATGAATGTGACCACACAGTCAACCTACTTTTATTTGTATTCATTTTACTTTAACAAAATCTGAGAATGGGTGTTTCGCCTCTTTTAAACTGAGAACAATATTCTCGTAGAGAGACTGTAGTTAAAAAGCAAAGAAATATCTCCTGATTTTTGCATCTGGCCTGCTTGTTCATTTTTTTGCTCTTTTACCCGTAGACAAACCTCTTTGGTCAGGAAATACCAGCCAAGCACCACCCAGGTCCTAAGAGTAAATAAAAATGCGTACTGACCTGAACTCCTTGACTGAAGATACCTGGAAAAAAAAGAAAAAAGCATAAAATCCAAACACTAATTTCTGAAGGTGCCAAAAGGGGAATTTGCAAAATTAGGAAATACCAAAGCCTGGGATGATACTTATCCTGGTTTGTGGGCATCTCGATAAGTCATGGTATGGTTGTTTTGTTTTTCACACCGACTGTCTTCTTAGGGAATGGTAGAAACTTGGAAAGTGCTGTGTGGACATGGATGGTGATGGGTTAATATTTATTGGAGGTTGGGTTGGGCTGAGAGAAATCGTTTAAGGCTGTGGAGAGTCATGTTAAGTCTTCGCCCATCACTAATTTACTGTGGGAATTACTTTATCATCTCTGGCCTCTTTTTGGAGAAGTTGTGTTGGAAATTTCCCTCTAACTCTGATGTTCCAAAGTTCAGTGCATTTAGTCCCTCCCCAAAGCCTTTGTTACAGGCAGTTGAGGGAAGGGATTGGATTTGTTGTTTGTTCTTTGAGCTCAAAATTGTTCTTCTGCCCTTCATACTCAGCTTTAAAGACTTTGGTGCAAATTTAGACTGGCAAGGACAAACTCATTTTCTTTCCTGTGAGTCATTTTTCCTGCTACATCTCTCTAAACTCCTGAAAGGGAAATAAGTTCATAAATAACAGTTGCCCCTCCTTCCATCTTTGTGATCATCTGTGTGGTTTTACGTTGTGGCTTATTAGCACAGTGGTTTAAAATACTGAAATAATAAAAGTGTTAGGTTCATTCCTGATACACGCTGCTGACTTCTGATCTCTGGCCATTTCTGTGGACCTCCTAACGCCAGCAGTACCTCTCACACGCAAGCCCGAGGTCACCTCAGTGACAGAAAGTACACGGATAAATGCAGTCTTCTCCAGTGTGGCTAGCACTTATGGGAAGACAGCTGGAAATACCTCAAGGTACTTTCTCTGTTAATGTGGATAAGGAGAAAACGGGGCTTTGCAAAATTTGCAAAAAAAAAGTGAATGATCTTCTACTGTTGTGGCTACCAACCTTATTCCAACAGTGTGGTGTGGGTCGTTATTAAAAATACAAATTCTTAGGACAGCCCCTTGAAAAGTTCCATTAAATAAGAGAAAATAGAGTCTGGAAATGTACCTTTTTAGAACCACTTCAATCAATTTTTACGACTAGGGAGGACTCATTGTTACAGTTTTCAGCCATTCTCCACTATACAAATCTCAGAATCTCTCAGAAGAGGAGAGATTTTGTCCAAAGTTTCATATGCATGAAATGTCAAAGTGGAAGCAAGGTTAATATCAGTGCCTGAGTCCAGCTAGTACTCTCATTATTAAAATTTAGTGGTGGCAATATTAATAGACATTTGTTAAACACTTACTATGTTCCATCCCCTATGCTAAGCATTTTACATGTACTTTTTCATTTAATTCCTCATTTAGGGCTATTCCTGTTACATCCCCATTTTACAGATGAGGAAAATGAGACCAGAAACGGCACACCGCTATAAAATAGAAATGCCAGGACTGAAATTCATTTCTCTTGATCTCAGCATTAAGGCTCTTAGGCACTTATGCTTTCCCAAATGCCAACATGTCTATAAGGAACCTTGTTTTAGTATTAGTATTTGTTGGTATTAGTCAACCAGATTGAATTAAAAGATCAATTTGTCTCTGTAAAGAAAAGCAATTAAGAGGATATCAGTTAATTTCTAAGACTATCTTTGCAAGTACATTTTAATATAGTCTGATCTATTTTTATGTCATCTCACCAGTTGACTAAGCCACTTACTCAAATTACTTGGCTTTAGTAATCAAAATTAATCCATTATATCACAGAAATCGTGTATCCACTTTTTCGTGTTTCTAAACATATTTGTTTATGAAAATATGACCAGTTTTGTGGGAACAGTGACTTCTCCATCTTCTCAGTCTCATTAAAAAATTGTTGTTTTTACACGTTTGGGCATTTAAAATCTCTGATAGCAGCAAAATTCAATTTCTTTTATCACAGAAAATGATACACCACACATGGAAGGTCCCAGGACTCAGTTTTCTTGTGTGTGGAATGTGGGTATGAATACCTTGCTATTTGCATTGGAGATAAGGCATAAAAACTCTTAGTACATGCCTAAAATATAGTATATGCTCAACAAATAAAAGTTATTTTTAACATTACAATGACCATTTTCATCATCACAATCATAATTAATGATTGAGATAATGATCTCCCAGAGTTAGTCTTTTAGATCAGAATTGTTAGGATTTTGAAATATGGTGGACAAATACACTTGTCACTTCCAATGCAGTATAAATATTGGATTTTAATTTTAAGGAAAAAAAAAACTCACCTGAGAAAAAGCAGAAAAAAGCCAGAGAGAGAAGCAGAAAGACACCTGATATTTTCATGGTGCCAGTTGGCTCACTCAGATCCAGGCTGCTTTGTCCAGCTCTGATTCTCTGTCAAGACACTTCCTGGAGCACTAAAAGACACACAGACATATATATAGACGTGATAGATGGAGTTGGGATCTCCACCTTCTTTATAAACTCACATTCTAAAACCGTATGTGGTCGTCTATACTGCAGGCATTTGTTGGGACCTGTCACGTAAAGAAATGCTTCATGCTCCCATCAATCTTAAAAATTAGGACATTTATATGAGTCGCACCTCAGAGCTTATTAATGGAGGATGTTATTTTCCACCAGTAATCTACATTTTCCTAACAACCAATATACCCTCCCTGTCCTTCCCTCTACGGTTTCGTTACATGAAAGGGATGATTCACTGGTGGAGCCCCACTTGACGCCTGTGTCTCTTTCAGACAGGTCCTACACGTCTGGGATCCAAATGAGTAACCGTGGGAGAATGGAATCTCGGGTGTAACTTGGATTTTCGGAGTTCATGTCAACCAGCGTGTACCTCAAAGAGGTAGGTACTACATTGTCATCAGAACTGCATCAGAAAAATCATTTTCTGCACAGAAATCAGATCGTTACTTTAAAATAATCTTCATTGTAGTCAAATGCCAGTGATTTTCAATCTTTAAGTCAAAATGAACAAAGAAGTCAGTGTATTTTTTTTAATTTGTAAAAAATATTTTTTAACAGTTACTGGATTGAGGAATATTTGAAATAAGGACTATTTACTATTTCCCCTTTTCTGTAAAGTAAAAAGTAGTCATAATGAAGCTCTTTATGTTTTGACTCCTTGAAAATACACTTTTTGTACAACTAAGATGAATCATACTATCATGGCCAATTTAATTGCTAGAAAGGTCAACGAGTATGATGCCAAAGCTTTCATTAGGTGAATGACAACAAAAACTCACAATGGTTATAGTGATAAATAGTGAGGAAGTCAACCTCAAATCATAAACAACTACTTAAAATATCATGAAGAAAAATGTAACAATTTCAATTATGGGAAGATTATGCAAAACGTGCCCAGTTTAATTAAACGCAAGGGATTAATGCAATGCATAGATGAGTAATTCAGAAAGTCTACAACTAAATAATTGGTTTCCTTTTAAAGCAATCACTTTTGGAAAATATATACAAAGTTCAGATATTCTCTTTATTTCAGGATATTTGTTTTCTGTTTGGAAATTACATATTTTGAGGAATTTTATTTTGGTTCATCTCAATAATTAGAATGAATTTTCTGTCTGTGAAAATGGTGACTATATTTTATTGAATTTGGCAATCAAATAAGGTATTACTGTGTAATCAAAACTGAAGTGTGACTGTGATAAAAACAAGAATAGTTTTTTTTTAATTACTTTCTTGACAATTTTAAAAGACTTGCACTTGAAGGATAGAGGAAAGAGGAGAGAGAGCAGTACAGACAGGAGAGGAGAGGAATAAGAGGAAAGGGAAGGTATGTGCTTGGCAGATGTTACCAAACCAGCAAGCCAAACGCTGGGATGCTGAGGTTTGCAACAGAGAAAGGGTTTATTCATGAGGCATCCAACTAGAAGATGGGAGAACAAATCTCAGATCCACCTCCCCAAAGGTGAGGGACCTGGCATGTTTGTGGGATAAAGCTGAGGCATGGGGAGCGTGGAGAAAGGTGACTGGAGATAAGAAAAAGGTGCAGCTAAGCTACAGGCTTCTTCATGGGACTCATGTTCAGAAAATGGTGGCATTAGTATGTTCTGAGGTGGAGTTTTATGCCTCTGATGGTCAAAAGGTCGCTGATCCGACACTCCCACAGGCCCAGTTGGAGGGTTCATGGTCTTAACTGGTCTTAACCAGCTCAAACTCAAACTGGATAAAACAATTGGGGCAAATATCTTATTAAGCTTTGTGACCCTTGGAGGACATGCAAGTGTTTTGTAGCAACAATTAAAGTGAGCTTGGTTGAAGGCAGGTTCCAGGTTTAGTGGATCAGATTGATGATTACCTTCAGTTTCACAGGTATTAAAAGTCTTCTTATTCTAAGGTGGTGTGATGTCACGCACGTAACGTACACACATTCACAAATGCATGATCTTAAAGTCCTATACAGAAAGTGATAGGGCAGGCCTAAGACTGAAAAAGCTTCAAAGATACTAATGAACAACCTTAAAAACCTGTGCTTAAATTTTTCTTGAACACTTCATCAGGGGAGGAGTCTGAGAATATTTAGAAAAACAGAATAATGGGGAAATTGCTCAAGGATAGCTATGAAATTTTCAAACAACAATTTTCTCTACATGTCATGATCTTTCATTATTTTGGCCTCATTAAAAGAGGTAATATAAAGAGCAGCGCTTAGGGACTTTGAAACGTTACAGAGGCTTGGTTCTCCATGTGCTGCTTCTTCCCTCCCTTGCCCGGGTTCCACTCTCAGTACTTCAAGCCCCAGCACTTCTGCCTTCTCCTTTCCCTTCTTCTCCTTTGTGATCAGAACATATAGGGGCAGTCTCAGTAGACCCTCAGGTTTCAAAATGAACACAGTTCAAAAGCATTAACAAATAACGAAAAACAACGTAACAGTGGTAGTCAGTGATATTCCACCATAAAATCCATGGTGGCCTTTCTAAGATACCTGTTTAAACGTCTCTCCCCCAAATTTCATTTACGGTAGTTGCTTCCATATCTTGCTCTAAACCCTCAACATCCCTGTTTACCTAAATAGTACTCTCTCTTCACTTTCCACTTTCTCCTTCCCTACCTCCCCCATCCTTCAAGAGCTTTTCTTAAACGGCTGTTTTTCGTAAAATGATTTTCAGGTAGAGTGAATGTACCCTCTTTTTCTGAATGTTTTCAGTTCTGTATCTTCAACATAATCCAGCTCATCACAACAGAGCTTGGGAGTATGAAAGTACAAAATAAGTTGTGGCTCTGGGCAGGTGTTAGGAAGTGAATATTGTAAATGTGTGCATATAGGTGTATATATATATATACACACACATACATACATATAGATATAGATATATAGATATATCCAGCACCCTGAACAATAATTTTTGTTAGGTTTTGAGCCCATGTGAAATAATTATTTTCTTTGTATATAACTTAAAGAAAAAGATAAACATTCTCTGGGGATCACTTCATTAGCTCCTTAAATAAGAAGCTGAGGTAATAAAAGGTTACAGAGAAGTTACAGCCAATTATTCACAAACACTAAAGATGCTGTGTCTAATTCTAGTTTTTTGGCTACAGAGTAAGTACATGAGAGAAGTTTGATTTTTGTTCTCTGTAGTATTCTGAAAGGAAAATAGGGAATAATTTAAGGGTAAGTTTCAATGAGCTGAGTCACGCACAAAAAAATAAAAGGAGATACAGGAGAAGGCAGTAAAAGTCATGGCTTTTATACAGACATAGTAGAATGCAGTCCCAATATATATACAGTTGACTTCCAAAAATTAACTGCATGTTTTATGTAATTAAAACCAAAAACACTAAAATTATATTTTCACGTGGAAAGTTTATTATATAAAGATGATACATTAACCCACAAATATTACCATTCAGGGTAATACACACAAAATCATAGGCACTTATTTAAAGAATTTTAAGGGTGATTTTGATTCTATAATTTCTGCTGCTGGTTTTATAATATCGCCACACCTATTCAGGTGTAGCTTTACTGCTTTTAGAATGCTTAGGTCTGTGTCCAGGGAGATATACGTATTTGTGTTTTATTTTTTAAGGTTTTATTTGTTAATATAAATTTTCCTTGCCACAATGTTTCTCAATATCAGATGGATAATAAGGGGGTCGGAGGGAGTGAAGACACATGCACAGAATACAGTGTCCATGGGAGCCATGTAAGATTGCAGCAGTTCATGGGGGGATAGAAGTCGATATCCAAGAACCAACTGATAAGAATCTCTTCACCAGAAGCTAGTGCAGATGAGACACTGTTCTGCAGATGTTATGAAACTTCCTTCTGGATTCAGATGCCATCTTTGGGGAAAGGAAGGAGTGAGGAGAACCAATGAGAAGGTTGAACCAGAGACACACCCACTGGGTAAAATGTGAGTCCTTAATGGGAGAAATTGTGTGGTCTCCACAGGACTTTCAGACATTCTTAGCAATTAATAAGCACTCAGAAGATGTTTGTTAAGTGACTGAGATTGAAATATCCTTGTTGAGACAAGTATTTTCTACTATTACTATGAAATGAAGAAAAGAGCAATTAAGAAATTCCCTTTTTGTCACATATAAACCTTAGCTTATATAAAAATTGGACCCACTCTACTCAGGAGATTAGGTCCAACCTTTATTAACGTTTTGCCAGAAAATAACAGAACATAAACTTTTAAATTAATTGTGACCTTCAAGAACATTTACTTTAGTCTTTCACTTAATATAAAATATAATCTAAAGTTCATAGACATAGTACTTTTATACTTGGTGGTTCTGTGATGGATAAGAAAGACCATAGACTTTGACTCTAGGTAGACATGGAGTGTGCATTCCACAAACTCTATGACTTAAGTGATGTTAATTAAACTTTCTGAGTCTCCCTATTCCCAGTGAGATGGCTTTCTGGGTTATTTTCATGCATCGCATATTTCTCTTACTTTCTTGGCTCAGAAACATTTTTTGGTGTTTTGTTGAAATCTTGCATTTAGTCCCTCAAAATTGTTCAGGCTTGAGTGTGTCATCACATTAGTGATCCCTCCCAACTTTGTGCCAACTGTAAATCTAGTAACTGTCTTCCTGATCATCATCAGTATCATTGAAAAAGTATTAAACAGAATAGGTTTGAAGAGATTTCACCAACTTATTACCAAAGTTACTCTACAGAAATCAGTGTTCACATTTTATCTGGCGTGCTGCCAAGCTCTCAGCCTTATGAAATACGATAAGGTATATTTGGCATAACTTGCTTTTAAAGAATCTATGTAGGCTGCTGATCATCCTCACCTTTTCCCCGTAATGCTCATATTATCATATGTCCTGCTTCTCCTCCTCATAGACTGTACCACCTCTTCCAAAATTAGCTCCCCGTAGTTTCTCATTTACTTCCATTACATTGCTGTTTTCCTGTCTTAACTCATGGTGTTGCCTTTGCCTGGGATATTCTTTTCTTGAATCACTACATGTCTAAATTCTACATATCATACAGTGAGAAGTCAAAATTACTGTACTCTTGACAGAACATTTCTTAATACTCTAAGGAGTTTATCCTGAATTGGTAGCATGAAGATCAGTTGTGGCTTGTTGATAAATGTTTTTTTTTTTTGACTCACACAATGTTTTTAAATTAAAAAAAAAATAGTCCATGACTTTTATAGTTTGAATATTT